ACAGTACAACCTCAAAAGAGATAATATATTTTTTTGGCTATACATATCATGTGGAGGAGCAGATGCTAATAAAGATTACAATGCAAGGTAAAATCCCTAAGCAATAGCAATAGCAATAGCAGTTAGACTTATATACCGCTTCATAGGGCTTCCAGCCCTCTCTAAGCGGTTTACAGAGTCAGCATATCGCCCCCAACAACAATCCGGGCCCTCATTTTACCCACCTCAGAAGGATGGAAGGCTGAGTCAACCCTGAGCCGGTGAGATTTGAACTGCCGAACTGCTGAACTAGCAGTCAGCTGAAGTAGCCTGCAGTACTGCACTCTAACCACTGCGCCACCTGACCAGGGCCCTCCAGAATGGGGGCAAGGGTGAAAAGATAATGTGTGATGTTGCAATATAAGCTCTGTCCCTTACACAGCTGGCCAGAACATTGCAACATAAGCATGAAAGGGCAGAGTTTGCCTCAGGACAGCTCATATTTTGTCTTTTTGGCATTAATGTAGTTACTGTGTTTCCCTGAAAATAAGACCCAGTCCAAAAATAAGCCCTAGTGAAAGGGGGAGGGCATGGCCAGGACAGGAGATGGTGAGCGCACACATGCCAATGATGTCCAGCAGCAGCCACAGCCCACACAGTGCAGGTGAGTTGATTATCTGTCCAAGCAGCAGGTGGAGGCAGAGGCAGTGGGAGCACGCAATCAGGATGTGCCATGGGTAAGCTGAGAGTTGGTGGATAGGAACGGGTGGCCGCTAGGGAGGATCATCTTTGTGTCTCTCGACTTGCCTGTGGCCTGTGCAATGCACCAAGATCTCCTGTTTTCCTTCCTGCGCCTCTGCCTCTGTCTGCTGCCAATGCCACCATGTGAAGATGAGTCTCCCATGGCTGCCCGCCTGGTCCAGCCTGACTCTCAGCTTTCACACGACCCATGTGGTGTGTTCAGACTACCTTCCTTCCCCCCCACACACACCTCCATCTGTTGTTTGGACAGGGAATTAAGCCACCTATGTTGCATGGGCTGCGCAGCCCGAGTGTGTGCAGACCAAGGGATCAGCAGGCTCCAACTGCTGCCGGATACCATCAGTTCCCATGCATTTTCTGCCTTTTGTGCGCATGCTGGGAGGGTGGAGTGCCCAACTGGGCTGATCACCCTGAAATCGTGTTTCCACAAAAATAAGCCCTAGTGCTTATTTTTAGATATCTATTTAGATATCTATATCTATCGTGTTTCTCGGAAAATGAGGGCTCCAAAAATAACCCCCCAAAAAACATATAAGTCAGGTCTTATTTTCAGGGGACCATGATAGATATAGATGTCTTATAGTAGAAACTGAATAGTAAGACAGTGTATAAGAATCTGTAATGTTTTGGGTTTACAAGAATGAGGTGTGTGCTTATTCTTGGTAGTCAGTGAATATGCAGGGTAACAATGCTAAATGGGGATTATGGGGGTTGTAATTGACAACATCAGGAAGGCTTTCTCAGACGCTTCCTGGTGTTTTAAACTTCACTCATACAACAATGAAATAAAATGTCCACCAGTTCCTGTGTATTATTTTCTTACCAGTATTTATTTCTTTGAGGAGATCTTTCCAATGAAATAATAAGATCCAGGGTTTCAATGGATGGATGCATTGTTTTGTTTTTCTATTGATGTTGTTTTAATTAATGGTTGGGAGCTGCCCAAAGTTTGATGTAAAAGATGGGTGGCTATATAAATGTTTTAAATAAAACATTTTTTAAAAATAAATAAATAAAATTAGGAGAAGTATTTTCAAAACTGATGAACAAAACCTGCTCTACAAATAATAGAAATGAACATTCTTTACTAGGAAAGCAAAGCACACAGTTGTGACTCCTCTCAAACTCAGTAGATCAAAAGTAAAACTAAAATCTGAGGGTCAGAAAACTCTCAGAATTAAAATAGAGAGGGATAAAGGAAGTAAATGTGGGGAAAAATATACTAGCCAGTGACGTGAAACACAAAATTAAATACAAAAGAAAACAAAGGGGGAGGGAAGGGGTATGAGATTATTTATACACACACCAGAAGTGGTTCTCCTCCAGATTCCTGCAGGCTGGTCTTGTTGAGTGTTAAATTGCAAGGGAAACAAGCTGATTTAGCAAAGTGCATCAGAAACATTGTCTCTTACAGCAGCGGGAAGAGTGTGGAAGAGTGTAAGTCAATCCTGATATATTTCAAAGAAGGCAGAAATATTGAGGAGTAGACAAGTGAAGCTAGGTGAAAGGGAAAGAATGAAGCAAGATGAAATGATGATTTCTTTTTTTAGAGTGGAGAAAAATATTTGCTTCTTTTAGTTGTACTTACTTGTTGCAGCCGAATGGAAGAGCATTGTATTAGAGAACGTTACAACTTGTAATTGGAACAGCTTAAACTCTGCAGCAGAATAAGTGTTTGTAGAGACATTGTCATTAGATCTTTTAAAATGTAAGACTATGTTTTTCCAAAATCATCCTAATAGTAAGCTAACTCTCTGGCAAAGAGTAATAACCTAACTCTCCAGCAGAATAAGTTTTTAGAGAGACATAGTCAATAACTATGTTTCTTCAATTTCATCCGAATAGTACATATCTGAGATTGAAATACCTTCAGTTGTAGAAAAATGTTTTTCCTGTTTTTGTTTATATTTCAATATTTTGATTTGCACTGTAAATACAGGCTTTTAATCACTGCCTTTCTTTGACAGCTGAATATATACTGTATCTGTATATTCCACCACACATATTCCTCCCACCCCCACCCCCACACACAAAAAAGACAGAAATGGCACACGTGAGAAAAAAGTTTATTGAGATTCTGGAAAAAGTCATGAAAGAAGGAGAGCAGATGACACCAGAGGAGATGCTGATTATGCATGAAGGAATTGCATACCCGACTGTCTTTTGTAACCCAGAGCAGTTCAAAGCTTTGGAGGCCTTCCAAGCCAGGAGTGACGATGTAGTTCTAGCAGGATATTGCAAATCTGGTGAGTTTGTTTGTTGGTTTGTTTTCTTATGCCTACAAAGGTGACTCTGGGATTTTGATACATATTTTTAAAAGGACCTGCCCGATTAGATTTTACTTGAAAGAGTGATGAATTGATGGATCGTAGGGTAACAGCCTGGAATAAAATCAAAGGGCAAGGAAAACATCAGGAATAATATGAAAAAGATCTTTGCATATCCATAATTTTCCTGGTTTCTGCCATTACCTGAGCAATTTTGGGCCTCAAAAATATCCATTTAATCTCTGAACTTGCACAGTGGAAAGCAAACTATCATTACGTCTATAGAAAGAAACCATGTAGTCTTAAACAGAATGCAAATTGATCAACTGAATATATGTCACCCTTGCTATTTATTGCTGACATTTTAGCTACAAAAGTTTAATGACACTAACAGTTCTAAACCTGCAGGTTCAATGGCTTTCATGGGGCTTTTGATCTTTTAGAATTCCAAAGAAAAACCCTGTTTGGAAAGGGCACGTTTTCATATATTTTATATTCTATAATGGGAAATTTTGGTCTGGTCTGGACTGGAAGCATTACACACAAAGATGTGTGTGTGTGTGTGTGTGTGTGTGTGTGTGTGTGTGTGTGTGTGTGTGTGTACCCGTGTCCGTGTCCAGATGGGTGAATGAGTGGGTGTATGTATGTATATATGTATGTATAAATATGGTGGGTAGACAGAATTTTATCCATAGCTTATTTTTATATAGAGGCTTATATATTTTTGGTAAGGAGTGTTGTGTAAAAGCACTACCTTATTTTTTTCAACACTCTTAATCCTTTAGTCTCCTGAGTATCAGTATATCTAATGAAATATATTTTCATATAAATGACAACAATGTGTTGAAAACTTACCTTGGCCACGGACTATAATAATCAAATAATCAACAATCATATAATAATCAAAGGCAAGTTTTTCCATATTACAATAAGGAAATAGGTTCCAAGAGGGCTTGCCATTTTGATGAGAAAAAAGTAGTCAAACGGTTTCACTGTCAAGGTGTGTATTATTTTATTACTTTTGTTTTGTCTAGCTTTTTCCCAAGGGATTCTATGTACAAATGGGATTACTGCTATTGCACTGAAAGTTAAAACTATTAATTCAGATCAAGTTATCAAAATTTGCAAATGTCTTAATGTGGATTACCTATAGTACTTGAAATTGTTCACAAGCATACAAGGACTTGTGATCAAAGTGTATCACTATATTGAAAAATGAGAACACAGTACTCTAACATCAGAAAGTCTGCTGTTACATAATGTTATTAGAACTCATGGGATATGTGCATTTCATCAAAGTATTCCTGAAATTAAATTTGGCAAGTTGTAATGCAACCTTTTCTAAAAATTATACTTTGACCGAGAGTGATGCAAGTGCAGAAAAAAGGTTCTGGAAAAAAGTTTTGAACAGATATGGACTTTGCACTGTTTCATCAGAATTTGTTGGCAGCGAGGACAGTTTTTGAAGGCTCCATTATGTCCACATGCTTTCTGTCATGACTAAGAGCTGCTTTCAGAAATAGATTCCTCTCTTAAGTTGTTGAGATCTTTGCCAAAATGATTAGGCTGCTAAAGTTGAACTTTCCTTGTTGAATATATAATGTCACTGAATGCTCATCACTTTCATTCCAGAGAAGTAGGAAACACACTATCTGAAAAAAGTTATACTGGGTGTCTAATACTATTATATTTTTAACAATTTATTTTTAAAATATATTTTGGCAAGTTTGTTACATCCTAGCACCATGATGGCGAACATATGGCACAAGTGCCAGAGGTGGTATGCAGAGTCCTCTCGGCTGGCACTTGTGCCATCGCCCTAGGTCAGATCTCCTGGCGTTTTTTTCATGAGTTTCTGTTTCCCTGCAAATGGTGAAACAGAAGCTCCTGAAAGAAAAAGATCTTACCACTTGCCCCCTACCTGTCTGTTATATGTTCACTGGAATGGAACTCAATCACTAAAAAAGGAGTTTAATTACAAGAAATTGTGATCTTGTGGTGCCTATGCTGTAAGATTAGTCCTGAGCACAGTTTAAATGTTTAGCACAATTTCAAAATTAAAAAACCCTTAATTTGTTTACATGACTTGGGCCTAAGAGGGAAGACCTCTCCCAGTGTAGATCTGACCAGGTGTTAAGAATAAAGAAAGAAACCTTTCTGAAGATTGTCAGAGGCCCACCTATCTGACAAATAGAAAGATGCTATGTGGGTCCTGGACTATGAAATGCCTGCTGAACATTATGTCCTGTTCCTACACTTTTTTCACAGCCTTTCAATTGTAAATTGATTAGTATTTCTTTTATGTTTTTACTATACAAGTATATACGGTACTATAAGTGTATTTCTTTTTGTTGTCATCACCCACCCCATCCCCAGGCACCAACTGGGTTGGCCAGATTGTTACTGATTTAGTAATAACATCTGCAAAGAAATATGAACCAGAGAAGTTGGATGAAAAACTTCTGCTAGCGGAATTTCCATATCTCGAAATAGGAGATACTGAAAAGTATAAGGTTAGTATTAATTATGCAGACATCAACTACTCAATGGTGGTAAATTTTCATCAGACCATATTTTAAAACAGCAATAGAGGTAAATTATTGAGTATTT